GAGAGCCCGTCTTCCAAAGGGCTGCTTTTAACCAACAAAGCCCTAAACAGCTTGAGCCCAAGCTACGAGCTTGAGCCCAAGCCACGTTTCCCATTATGGGCTTGCTCAGGTGTTAAGATCATCAGGAGAGGCCTTTCTCTCAGTCCCACCACCTTCACAGGTATATCCGGTGGAGACGCAGGAGAGGGCCTTCTCTGTGGCTGCTCCCAGATGTTGGAGCTCCCTCCCATGGGAAGCCAGGCTGGCCCCGTCTTTGCTATCCTTCTGCAAGCAAAGAAAGACCTTTCTCTTCAGGCAAGCTTGTTCTGAATTGATTGGCTGCCTGAGTGGGATTTTTAAATGGATTTTTAATGCCTTACTACTTTGAACGTGTTTTAAGTATTGCTTTTGTTTGCCATTTCTATGAGCGGTATCTGTTTGATCCTTTTTAGTATTTGTATACTTATTGTTTTTAACTTTAAATATTGTCATTTAAGGATGTAAGCTGCCTTCGGTCCTTTTGAAGGTGAAAGGTGGGGTAAATATATTTTAAATAAATAAATAATCCTTCAGGGTATTATGATCTTATCGTATTTCTTATACAGTGGTGCCCCGCATGACGACGATAATCCGTTCCGGGAAAATCGCTGTTTAGTGAAATCGTCGTCATGCGAAATCAGTTTCCCCACTGGAATGCATTGAAACCCATTTAATGCATTCCAATAGGGAAAATACCTTGTCGTCCAGCGAAGATCGCCCATAGGGAAGCCATTTTGTGAAGCACCGATCAGCTGTAAAAATGGCTGCCCTGCGAAGCATGGGTCCGGAAAACACAGGGCAGCCATTTTGCGGAGCCGGAAAAATCGTTGTCTTGTGAACAAATAGTTCACGAAGCACGGACCTAATCGACGTCAAGCGAAAATCCCCCATTTGGAATAACTGTTTTGTGAATCGCTATAACGATCGTAATGCAGATTTGTTGTTCAGCGGGATCGTCGTCTAGTGAGGTACCACTGTACTTTAGAGAAAGCTTGATGTCCCAAGGTAAATCACAACGCACAAAGTGACTGTGCCCTAGATTGTCTCTCTATGTGCTTTAGTTCCATGGGATCATAGCATAGCATAGCATAGCATAGCATAGCAAAATCAGCCATATTTTGTTCACAAGCCTATTTATGTTCACATGTGTGTTCATGCACACTTTCACCCTCGCCACAGTTGCAAAATGGGGACTGGATATTGAGTTTTGGCTTCTATATTTGGCTTTGGCAATCATACTGCTGTTGTTTAAATAGTGAATAAAATGCGTGGTTAAATGTTATAAAGTGTAGGTGCATGTCATAAACAGATACAAAATGTGTGTTCATTTGTATATTGTGTATGTAGCTGTGGATGTGCACATGTGAAAATCAGTCTGCATGTACAGCATATTAGAATGTCAGCCATCTACTGTACTTTCAATCCCACCCGTTGCAAAGGTGTGATGGAAAGTTTATGGGGATTAACAACATGTGACTGAGGGGCTGTACGATTCCTCCATCAGTGGGTCGTGTCCCCCCCGAAGCACTGCTCTACTTGTGAACAAGGGTGTGTGTGTATGTGTGTGTGTGTGTGTGTGTGTGTGTGTGTGAGAGAGAGAGAGAGAGAGAGAGAGATGATCTTTGTACAGCACCCCAGCTTCTGGAAGTTGCTTGTGATTAATCTATTTAAGAAGTTTTTAACTAAAACTGTGTGTACAGCACCCCAGCTTCTGGAAGTTGCCTGTGATTAATCTACTGTATTTAAGAAGTTTTTAACTAAAACTGTGTCACTATTATGGCAAAACAGATACGATCAGGTCACTATGTGTCACTGGGCTTAATTGTACTGTGGTGAAGTCAGGAGTTTCCTGTTACTGCCATGTTCTTGTTAAGAGAAAAGTGAATAATGTTCTCTTAACTTCCTGACTGCTGTGTCCTCATAGAATTTCATTATGTGGTGCCAGAAGTCTTGTTATGAATTAAGAGGTCAAGAAATCTTAGATTGCGTTGGTGGCCAGAAAGAATTTATTCTCCCAGTGACCAAGAACTTCTAAAAAATGACTTTTGAATGCCACAGCTTCCAGAATCTACAATATCTGGTTCAAACTTAACCTCGGCTATAAATCCAGCAGGTAGCCTTGGGCAAGCTATCATTTCTCAGACTCAGTTCTCCCATCTGCAATATGGGCACAATTACAGTTGCTCTCCCTGAAGGCTTGTTGGGAATATTAAAAAGACAATGCACACCAAATGGTTTGAACACTCCAAAGTATCATGCAGATGTTAAGTATCATTATATGTTATGCTATCAACACCGATTTTAAGAAAAACATCAGAGATCGCGTGATGTTAGTGTTTTTTGTTGTTTAGTCGTTAAGTTGTGTCCGACTCTTCATGACCCCATGGACCAGAGCACGCCAGGCCCTCCTGTCTTCCTCTGCCTCCCAGAGTTGGGTCAAATTCATGTTGGTCGCTTCGATGACACTGTCCAGCCATCTCATCCTCTGTCATCTCCTTCTCCTCTTGCCTTCACATTTTCCAAACATCAGGGTCTTTTCCAGGGAGTCTTCTCTTCTCATGAGATGGCCAAAGTATTGGAGCCTCAGCTTCAGGATCTGTCCTTCCAGTGAGCACACAGGGTTGATTTCCTTTAGAATGGATAGGTTTCATCTCCTTGCAGCGCCACAATTCAAAGGCATCAATTCTTCAGCGGTCAGCCCTCTTTATGGTCCAGCTCTCACTTCCATACGTCACAGTGTAGAATGTTGTAAAAACAAACAACATTGATTGTTGAGGTGGCTGTGGGTTGGCCTGGGGGGCCCCTACAAAAATGCCCTTAGGGCACCACGCCATCCCTGGGCTTTACCTTGCCTGCTCTTCTTGTAGGATAATTGGATATATAATTGTAATAACCTTGGAATGGCAGAGCTGGGAATTAGGTAGTTCTGGTCAACCCAGGAGTGTCCTCCAAAAGGAAATTGCTTTTTTTTCTTGCCATCTTGGATGAAAGCAAAATAGTTTATTCCCAAGTTGGCCAATGAGGAGCCTGAGGGGAGCATTTGCAATCGGACAAGGCGAGAAAAGGCGAGCGGAAAGAGTGTCCTGCCAAGGTGACCGTTAGTAATCCGATGTGGGCGGGCCGGAAGGTCGGTCCAGCAGCTGCATGGCTAAGGTGGGATTTTTGGAGCCTGAAATGCAATCCCCATAATAAGGCCCACCTGTTTAAATAGCCTTATGTTACAGGAAGAGACTGTGCAGCTAGCAATACACAAACCGTCTTTTGATTTCCCCCACATTATTGGATCAGGCCCTCTAGTTTTGGTTGACGCGGGGGGAGTGCAGGAGAGAAAGAGTGTAACGGTCTTAAAAACAGCAAACGCGTGCTATTGGCTGGTATTTACAGAATACATTAAAATAATTGACCCAGAGTTTTGAGATGCCCCCCCCAAACCTTCCCCAAGTTGGTGCCTTTGAGAAGGTTTAGACTAGATCTTTCATCATCCCCGACAAAGATAACAGAGATAATGGATGCCATAGCACAAAATATACATCTTGGATCAAGAGGGTGTCCAAAGAAGAAGTACTAAGGTAGAAGAGTAAAAAAAATCAAGAAAATCTAAGACACATAAAATACAGAAAGCTTTGGTCACCTGATGAAAAATAAAAGTACAGATTGTTACAGTTGATCATTCAAGGCAGACTAAGAAGGGGAGGATGGAGGAAGAAGATGTACTTATTGCCTGGAAACCTTGGAGATAGGTTTGAGTAATGCACAGTGTCATTCTTTGATAATCCCACCAACCAAACATAGTTTGATTTAATATGACAGGATGTTTATTTTACAGACACATATATAATGAAATAGTTTGTACATGCAAGGACTCTCCACAATATAGATGGATATTTAATCAATATACTTGTCGTTGTGTGCTTTCAAGTCATCTCTTGACGTACGGCAACCTTCTGTATCAGCCGTCTCCGAAATGTCCGGTCCTCAACGGCTTTGCTCAGATTTTCCAAACTCAAGCCTGTGGTTTCCTCTAGGGAATCAATCCATCTCATATTTGGCCTTCCTCTTTTCCTGCTGCCTTCACTATACTAGCAGTAAATCAATTTAGTAACTGCAACCATCCCAGCAAGAGGAGATGAAGAATTCTAAGTTCATTTACATTCCATTTCCAAAATGTAGTTATTGGTAGGTTCTGTAAAGGACAAGTTTTTATTATTGTATGGAGAACCACATGTGTTGAAATGGCATCTTGCACGTGAAATAAAGTGAAAAGAAAACATTTTGTTTAGAGCTGTTGAAAGTCAGGCTAGCTGGGATGATGTCCAGCTTCTGGCTGGGGTAATAGCAAGAAGAAAAGGGAGAAGAAACTATGGGCTGTTGGTTGGAGAGTCCCCTACCCAGAGGATTGTGGTTGACGTAGTTACTTCTGAAGGACAGCAATTCCCAGCTTCCCCCTGCCTATATGGCCAGTGTCCTTTTTTTGCTGGGGGATCCTGGCAGTTTTTTCTTCTTCTCCGAAGCCCTAAAGGCAATCTTCGTCATTGCCTTCTTGATTACATGCTGTTTCCCTGACGTTCTGCAGAATCTAAAATGCAACATGCAGCTGTGTAGTCAGTTCGGTGAGATTGTTTGCATAGTAGTTTGAAAAATAATAATTAGAAGTCTTAAGCATTCAGTGGCCCCTTTCCTCTAACGCAAGCGTTGATCCCAACTTCCTGAGAAGCAGGCTGTGTCCTCTTGAGGAGCAGTAGGGCTGTTTGTTAGTTTTGGCTGCCAGAGGGAGTGTTTCCTGCAAGGAGAGGAAAAGACCAGAACGGTTAGCTCCCACCTAACGGTAGCCGTATGAAATCCTTGTGTTGCCGGCACATCACGGTTCGATAGATGTGGGTTTGGGGTCTTCCTCGCTGGAGATGAAGTCACCCCTGCTAACGGCTGAGTGGGTTGCCTTCAATGGGATCAGCTTTTAAATTTGTTTTACTTTGAAATTTCAGTGACTGCACGATGGCAGACCGACCGTTGGATCTCATAGAGGGGGAAGAAGCCGGGGAAGATTTTACAAGTAAGTAAACCGATTGTTTGTTCTGTGCTGTTTTCAAGCTGTCGAGGCCGTAAGGGTCGGCCGCTGGCAACGTGGCGCAGTGGTTAAAACGCTGTACTGCAGCTAAAGCTGTGCTCACGACCTGGGGTTCAAATCCCAGGTAGCCGGCTCAAGGTTGACTCAGCCAGTGACTGCACGATGGCAGACCGACCGTTGGATCTCATAGAGGGGGAAGAAGCCGGGGAAGATTTTACAAGTAAGTAAACCGATTGTTTGTTCTGTGCTGTTTTCAAGCTGTCAAGGCCGTAAGGGTCGGCCGCTGGCAACCTTAAGGCTCAACCTGACCTCCTACAAGCTTCCATTGGGCTGCCGGCAGAGTTTCCAGTCTTGTCCTTCCACCGTTTTCTCTTCTGTGAACTCTTGTTCTTCCAGAGGGCTCCTTGATCTTTTTTTCTCTCCCCTCTTTTGCTCTCTCTGTAGTTGCTTCTTTGCAAAATTATCTCACCTCTTTGCCTAGAAGGATCTGCAAAGCAATTTCAGGACAATCTGAACACCAGCGCAAGTGGCAAAATCTGGGTTAGCAAATCCACAGAAACATGGTATATATAAAACCATTGTTGATCGCCTGTTGTCCCAAAGGGCCTCTGCCATAGCAGGGTCTGAATGTGCCATCTAAATCACAATCGTGAGGGACCGAACAGGCTTTCCGTGTGGAGGTATGCTACATATTGGGTATGAGGAATATGTGGCCCCCTATGTGTTGTTGGACTACGGCTCCCATCATCCTTCCCTCCCCCTTGTCTCTTGGCTAAGGCTGTTGGGAATTATAGTCCAACGACATTCGAAGAGTTTCCCATGCGATACAGAGCCCATCTTCATGACACAGTTATAGCAGTTTGGTAGCCCTTTAACTGGCATGGCTCCATCCTATGGCATCCTGGGATTTGTAGTTTCCTGAGGCGCGTAGAACGTTCTGCTCCAGGACTCTTAAGACATTCCTTGGACTTCCAACAGAGGAGTCTACATCCTTCAGCCAACTTCAGATCCCAGAACTCTATAGGATGGTGTCTCTCTCCCATTTTTCCAATTCCGTGTAGTTGACTTGGTCCTATCCTTTCAGTTTGCCACAACTCCAGTTTTGCCCTTGGCTGCGGAATATTGAAACATCTTCCCCCCTGCTTGGTCCTCTAGCATTGCCACTCCTTTTGTGTGAAATGGTTATTGTTGTTCCGACAGATCTACCACCCCTTTGGTGCTAGAGTCCCCCCAAATTCCACACATCTTCTGATCATTCAAACCGTTCATGTATGTATTTTAGTATACAATATTGGCTATTATCATCATATTACTCTTATAGTATACAATGTTTTCAAAATCCTCTAATAACATACTTAATAAAAGTAATTCCAGTTCCAGATCTATATACTTTGAGGTAATTTAACCGACAAAGTGTAATTTATACCAATGATAACTGAGTAAGTTCTTGACACGTAATATATATTAACTTAGAGCATCCTATACAGATTTTCTTTGCAAAGTTGTTTAGGCATTTCCATCTCCACATTTTCTATCCTATCTATAACAATATCATATCTTATGCATGTTCATTATCTACTATTTGTTTACCCCAACCTTATATCTAGCTTCAATTTACCTTAAAAAAATAACGACACCATATTATGCCCTTACCCTGATTAGTGCTACCTTATTTGAGTTTAATTCTCTTTTTTAATATATAAGATATGCCCCTTTGCAATTCGAGAAGTTAGATATATACATGCTTTCCAACATTGAGGGGAAGGAAGGAAGGCTGAGTCAACCTTGAACTCCCCAAACCTGTGTAATTGATGAGGGCAGTCCTTAAGGTACCCGGATACCACTTGACCTTGGAGACCTTTGACCAAAACAGAACAGGGAAGAAATAAATACAGTGGTGCCTTGCATAACGAGCGCACAGTTTAACGATGAATCCGCATAGCGATGCGGATTTTGCGATCACTAATGCGATCGCATACCGATGTTTGAATAGGGCAAAAATCGCTTTGCGACGATCGGTAAGCATTTCGCTTACCGATCTTCACATTGTGATGTCGGGGGAACAGCTGATCGGCGGTTCGAAAATGGCCGCCGGAACACCCAAAATGGCCGCGCGCAGCGTTTTCGCCCCCTGCCCTCGCTTACCGAGGGCGCGAAAATGGCGGCCGGATGGGGAAACTTCGCTCAGCGGGGAGTTTTGGCCCCGTTGGAACGCATTAAACAAAGTTTAATGCATTCCAATGGGCTTTTCTGTTTCGTTTAGCGATGTTTCCCCATAGCGAAGGTTAATCCAGAACGGATTAACCTCACTATGCGGGGCACCACTGTAGAAACATAGCACGCCCACAAGGTTTTGCCTCTTGTATTTGTACATTGCAACGTTGTTGGAGTTGCATGGAACTCCATAACGTTTGGCAGTGCATAGAAGCCAAATGGTAAATGGGGGTGCTTGGACTCCACATTTTTCTCTCGCATTCTCTGGAGCTGGTGGGGCCACGGCTGTCTCTCTCAGAGTGGGTGACTTCAGCCGCGTCTAGTCCTGCCATTGTAGCCGATGTCTCCGCGGCTGCCGAGCGAGGCAGAGAGAGGGCAGGTAACAGCCTGGATGCATTGTTTGTTTCTCAAAGTAGCCACTGTCTGGCCCCTTTTGCAGCTGATGGTGGCACCATCCTTGCTGGCACGGGTGATGGGAAAACAGTGTTGACAGAATGATTAGAGAGGAGAGGGGGTTGGGGAAGGAGAAGGCCGTTCTTGTCTGAAACGATGCTTTGTTTTTGAAGAAGTCCTCCAGCTGGCTGGATTTATTGTGCCGACTTCCCCCTAAAGAGCCAAAGAATAGAATATGTGTCAGGCTTGGCTGCTTTTGCTGATCTCATGACTTCTTTGCATCCAAGAGGTCTGTCCTGGAGCGGTCAAGGTGTCTTCTCCCACAGTCGTGTTGAGTTGGGTTTTAGGGGACAGAGAGGTAATGTCAGGGCATTTCTTGCTTGTTCACCCCACCTTTCGAGGACAAAATGGTGCTCAAGACAGCAAATAACGTGAACATCAAAAGAGACAGAGTCTTGTTAGACCTTAAGTGTTGGCACATTTTATCTGGCATAAACGTTGGCATGCTGCAGGCTGTTTTGTGTACAGTCGTGTCCCGCTTAACGATTACCCTGTATAACGACGAATCCGCTTCACGACAGTGTTTTTGTGATTGCAATTGCGATTGCAAAACAATGTTTTAATGGGGTTTTTCCGCTTTGCGATGATCGGTTCCCTGCTTCGGGAACCGATTCTTCGCATTACGACGATCAAAACAGTTGATCGTCGGGTTTTCAAAATGGCCACCGGCTGCTCAAAATGGCTCTCCGCTGTTTTTAGGAGGCATTTTTCGCAAGACAGGCACCTGAAAATGGCCGCTGTATGGAGGATCTTCACTGGACTATTAGGTATTTCGCCGATTGGAACACATTAACCGGGTTTTAATGCGTTTCAATGGGTTTTTTTATTTCGTTTGACGACGTTTTCGCTCTACAGCGATTTCGCTGGAACAAATTAACGTCATCAAGCGAGGCACCACTGTATATGTGAAGCCAGAAGCCAGCTGCCAATTCTTGTAGCATGTCAGGCAAAAACAAAACATATATTTTTTAAAAAAAATAAAGAAACCAAAAACATTGTGGCTGGCTATATATGAGCAATCAGACTAAAACAGATTATAATGCACGTGCCCCACTGGAAATGTCAGCTCAAGACAATTAATAGAAGAAAGATAGAAAGTCATGAATAAAGGACACCCTCCCCCATAGCAACTGTTTAGGTGTTTCAACAAGAAATACAAAACAAAACAAAAGTGAAAGGAAGGAAGGAAAGGTGTGGCACTTTATCTGCTACATTTTAATGTAAGCTTTCGTGGAACGTGGCCCACTTCTTCAGATGTCTGAGGCAAAATGCAGAGACTGCATGGTTTAGGTGCTAGAGGCCTACCTGAATAAAAAGTTATTTTTCTGGAAGTGGGGAAAAAGACAGAGAAGGGGGTCAGCTTAGTGTCCTTTGGTGGGGAATTCTAGTTGGGAAGCAGCCAGTTACGGAATCTGCAAATCAAGCCATGCCAGAGCCTCCACCAGGGAGATGACATTTCACGGAGCATCAGTTTCACCCGAAACTGTGATCAGACCATACACTACCATAGCGGACACAAGAACATGGAAATTCGTTAGAACCCGAGAAGGTCTGATTCAGTTTTTCCAATTCTGTTCACTTTCAACTGATGCGCTGCGTTCCCACGCAACGTGCATGAAGCAGCTTGCAACCCTGTGATAGCAACACAAAACAAAAAGGCATGTCGGGATACGATTGGCCTTGCTTTGTGTTGTGATTGGTTGTCAGGAGGTGAGCACAAGCGTCGTTTGCAAGTATGATTGCTCACGTTGGCTTGCCTGAGCCACGTGTCTAGAACAGATTCCAGCTTTCAATGAGGCGCTATCTGTAATTCTGCCGGACGTTGTAATATCTACCAGCCATCAAATTCCAGCAGTGTTAATTTACAGAAGCAGAGCTGATGTTCATGTTGGGTCCGTTGGGCCAGAGCAATGCTTTGAAACATAAGCCCTTACCTTTAACCTGTTATGAACGGCTGCAAGTCAACTTGGCCTAGAGCTGATATGCACAATCTTTATCTCACAAGAGTTATAGCACCCAGGTTTATTCATTTATTTGTTTTCATGCCAGGATTGGCACTTTCTGTAACATGTCTTTCTGTTTCCCCTTCTTTTCCTTTTTTCCCCTTTTTCTCCGTTGCTCAGGGAAGAAAAAATCCAAGTTCCAAACTTTTAAGAACTTCTTTGCCAAGAAGAAGAAGAACAGAGAGCCGTCTGCCCCTGCGGGAGAAAGCAAACTACTATCTGTAATGTGCTTAAGCAGTCACAGCATCAGTCTTGCAGTGAGCGGCAAAAGCTCAACCCTTCTGTTTCTGCTGGACGTTGTAATATCTAGTAAGGTAAAGGTAAAGGTTCCCCTTGATATTTGGCCCAGCGTTCACTTTCAACTGATGCGCTGCTTTCCCACGCAACATGCTTGAAGCGGCTTGCAACCCTGTGATAGCAACACAAAGTAAAAAAGCATGTCGGGACACGATTGGCACAGCAGGAGCTTTTCACGCCTCCCTTAGGTGGCGTCTTAGCTTGCTTTGTGTTGTGATTGGTTGTCAGGAGGTGAACACAAGCGTCGTTTGCAAGTATGATGGCTCACGTTGGCTTACCTGAACCACGTGTCTAGAACAGATTCCAGCTTTCAATGAGGCGCTATCTGTAATTCTGCCGGACGTTGTAATATCTACCAGCCATCAAATTCCAGCAGTGTTAATTTACAGAAGCAGAGCTGATGTTCATGTTGGGTCCGTTGGGCCAGAGCAACGCTTTGAAACATAAGCCCTTACCTTTAACCTGTAATGAATGGCTGCAAGTTAACTTGGCCTAGAGCTGATATGCACACTCTTTGAGTTATAGCACCCAGGTTTATTCATTTGTTTGTTTTCATGCCAGGATTGGCACTTTCTGTAACATGTCTTTCTGTTTCCCTTTCCTTTCCTTTTCCCCCCCTTTTTCTCCGTTTCTCAGGGAAGAAAAAATCCAAGTTCCAAACTTTTAAGAACTTCTTTGCCAAGAAGAAGAAGAACAGAGAGCCGTCTGCTCCTGCAAGAGAAAACAAACTGAAGCCGAGCCAGTCCAGTAGCGATCTCAGTGCCCAGAACCTCAATTCTGACGTACTCCATTTGCTGACCGAGCCCGGGTAAGGTAGCGAGCGCACCTCCATCTTGTACCAACTTGTTAAAAGCAGAAATCCTCTCACCGAGAGCAACACATTTCCTTCAAGTGGGTGCACAAACAGATCCCAGTCCTGCTGCTGGAATGTCAGGAATTTCCTTTTCCTCTCGTGCAGCGTGTGTGGTGTGTCTCTTGAAACAGCTAGGGCGGTAAGCCTCCCCCGCCGCTCTACAGATTGCTTTAGCTTCCAGAAATGCTGAGACAGGATTTGACTCCCAGCTCTCTGAAAGCTGCCCAGACAACACTAATTAGCGTGGACGTTGAGCCCCTCCCTGGCGGCTGAAATCGTCTAGCAAAGTCCAAGTCTGAAGGCGAGCAGTACTCTTAGGAAGATCACTTGTAAAGCCTCCCAATGTGTAAGCTTTAGAGGTCTCCAGAACTCTTCATCAGGCTAGGTTTTTAAAAAATGGGATGAGGATGGGGAAGAAGCATGCAAGGCCAAGCGTTTGAAAGGTCTTTTAGCCATGGCGATCTGGGTTCAAATCTTCACTCGGTCAGGAGATGTCCTTTGGCCAGTTACAGTCTCTCACCTTGATGTATCTCACAGGGCTGGGGGGATATAATTAGGAGGAAATACACGGTGTTGAGCTCACTGGAGGAAAAGCGGAGTAGAAATACGAATTACATACAGTACGCAGATAAAACTCAGTCCCAAGATGGAAAAACAAGGGCTAGGTAACCTAAAGAGTCATGGAAATGAACATAGGCTCATCACTTTTTGAGAGCAGGAGGAGAACCCTGTCCCTTTGCCTAGAGTGTTTATTAATATTAATTATTAATATTTGTTGGTGATATTTATATCCCGCCTTTCTTGTAACACGGTCTTCTAACGCAGCAGTCCCCAACCTTTTTCGGACCACGGACCGGTTCAGAGGTACAGGCTCCATGCGCGGGGGTGCGTGGGCATCCCCGCACTCGTGGGTGGGCGCGTCATGCTCACGGGGTGTGTGTGGCACTTGCGGAGGGGTGTGTCGTGTTTGTGCGCATGCCTGCAAGCACGACAGACCCACCCGCAAGTGCAACGTGCCCACCTTCGAGTGGGACATGCCCACCCACGAGTGCAACACACCCACCCCGTGAACGTGACACACTCCTCCACAAGTGGGACACACCCACCCGCAAGCGCAACACACCCATTGTGCATGCATGCGGGGGCAGAGATCCGTGTCTGCAGCCCAGTTCAAGGAAGCCCACGGACCAGCACCAGTCCACGGACCAGGGGTTGGGGACCCCTGTTCTAATAGGTCTTCTTGCCATTTTAGTTTTACAACACTCTTGTAAGGTAAGGGCAGGCTCAGACAGAGGCCCATGGGCACACAGCTTCCCAGTGAAATTCATGAATCAGAGATAAATCAGAGTTCTCCCAAGTTCAGCGTTCTGACCCTTATGTCACACTGTAGGAACTGGGAAATCGGTCAGAAAAATGTCGAGCTGAATTAGGTGCTGGTGTTCTCTGCACACATGGTCCAAATGCCTATTGGCATCGTGGCTTGGTTTAATTTGTTTTTAACGAGTCGGTGGCTGAAATCCTGCTGAGCATTTACACAAATGACAGAACTTTCGGAAGCCAGTTTTCTTAAGTTAAGAAATCCATACGGGCATTATCTGTTGGCACGCTGAGTTACGCCCAAGTTTCCAATGAAAAATCAAGGTCATGAGACGGGTTTTTTTCAGAGTTTGTATCATATCATGATGTTGTGAAATCAGAGCTGGCCTTATCATTAGGCAGAGTGAAATACCTACCACAGTTGACTGGTGCTGAGGGGCTCAGAATGACCATATTGTTCTATGTTATATATGTTAAAATGGTTACATACCTGGAATGCTGTTTGTGGAAACAGGGTGCCTAGTTGTTGTTTAAATAACTAGCTAAATAGATACAGTAACAATAGATATTGAATAGAATTGAAATAGATAATCATACTGTACCAGTCTGTTGTGACAGAATCCCAAGGGACAGGACTGAGACGTATTTGATTCACTTTTGGCCAGTGACTGTAAACACTGTGCAGATATGAAGATATGGTGCCTGGCTTTTCTTATTTTCTTCTGCATTCCTAGTTCGCTTTCCCTTTTGGGTCAAGTCTTCCAGCTTGTAAACCTGTCAGTAGGAAATGTGCAGTATTGTTTCAACCGATTTAATGCAAACCACCCCATTTGGCTGTAGAATGACTCAAAAATGCCTTGAATAAATGAAGAGTTCTGATCAGAGTGTTGAATTTTAAAGTTGCTGTTGTTCTAGCCACTGTTTATTCCTCTCGGTCTCCTGCCCAGATTATACAGGCCAGAATGGCCTACCTCGCAGGACTGTCGCGCGCCTCACTTTCCAAAAAGCCTTGGTGGAATCCCTGGTAGAAATCATGGGCTTTTTGAACTGCAGAATTTTGGAGAAAAGTCTGAACACCTTCCCATCCCTTCCCCTTTGTTTTTAGGTCCAGAGGGAGCATGGGAAACAAAGCCTTATCGCACGACAGCGTTTTCATTTCTGAATCTTTGCCAGATGTCACAAGCCACACTTGTTCGCAGGAAAACCTTCCCGGAAAGGTGAAAGCTTTGCAGGTGAGTGAGTGGCCCTCCAGTTCTGCTGCGAGTGTGCGGAAAGGCCGTGTGCATTCTGCACCTCAGGATATCGCTCAGCGTTTGGCCTGGTTTACCCTGTGCTCGTGTTTTTCGTGAGGTGCCAGTTGGGCCATGGCAAGAAGAAAATCTCATTTATCAGACTTCTTCTCTGCAATTTGGCTTTTCATCTCTGTCATTTGCGTCCCTAAGCCTTTAATCTCAAAAAAAGAGAGATTTTGGACAACAAGTCCCAGAATCTCAGCTGCCCTACTCATCTCTGCCATTTGCGTCCCTAAGCCTTTAATTTCAATAAATAAATAAATAAATAAATGAGATTTTGGACAAGTCCCAGAATCTCAGCTGCCCTACTGGTGGCTGAGATTTTGGGAATTGTTCCCTGAAAAACTCATTAAAATGTTTCTTTTCCAAATGCTGAGAGTTTTATATCTGCCCACTCACTGCTAAAAGAAAAGTTGATTTTTGGGGCTACCATATGTGGTTCCCCAGAGGAACGTCTCCTGTATCTGCTCTCTACCTGCAAGCCCAATATTATATTTCTTGGTTAGCCAGAGTCTGACAAAGTCAAAGGTTCAGATGGTTCAAATGCAACAGTAACTTGTAACTCTTTACATCAATACTGGCTGATTGTTACGCTCGCTCTTTGATGACGTCTGCTTGACTCCATTTGCCGGCAGAAGCATCTAAAACAGAGTCAGCCCTTTGATGCCTTACTGTTCACACCTTCCAGATAGCAGTGCTTTGGGTAGGAAGCTGACTTTGGTGTGTGGAGGCTTCACCTCATAGGGAAAATTGGGTGCAGCAAAGCACTGGTGAAGAAGCATTGAACACATCTTATGTTGGGGAAAATGTGGGTGAATGAAGTGGGGCTTGCTTTCCCAGGGCAGAATTTCAGGGAGTGAAAAGGACCGGTGGTGGAGCCTCTGACGGCTAGATGGAGAACTTCTGTGGGCCTGATGTGGCCTGTGGGGCAGTGATGTCCCCATCTCTGGCCTAACTGAATCAGGCAATAGCCCTATCTATCTATCTATATCTATCTATCTATCTATCTATCTATCTATCTATCTATCTATCTATCTATCTATCTATCTATCTATCTATCTATCTATCTATCTATCTATCTATCTATCTATCTATCTATCTATCTATCTACCTACCTACCTACCTACCTACCTACCTACCTACCTACCTACCTACCTACCTACCTACCTACCTACCTACCTACCTACCTACCTACCTCCCTACTACTCCTTCAGTGAAAATGGATTTTAAAAAAAAAACTAATTCTGGGATTTTTGTCCCTGTCCTTTTCTTTCCACCTCAACAGCTACGGTTGCAGCAGAACCTCCGGCTTGGCTCCCCTCCTCTTGTGATCCCTGGAAAGAAAACAGAAGATGCCGGCGCCATTTCGGAAGACGACGGCTTGCCCAGAAGTCCTCCAGAAATCTCCACCCTCCATGACGTTCTGACCTGTTCCACGAGTACAGTAAGCCCGCTTTAACTTCTTCATCATCTTTTTTTAACAAGAGGTATAATAGGAAACTTGGAGCCGTTATCCTTCATGCCATACATAATCCTGGGGTAGAGTCTTCCCTTGTTCCTGCTTTCCACACCTACCTTGCACTTTCTGCATTTTGTCCTGAATGGAGACGATTTCATTGTGTCAACTCTCTCTTTCCCTCCTCTTCACTTACATTTCTGCCCCTCTTTTCCCCCAGGGAGCTGAAGACCGTGCATATGGCTCTCCTCCTCCCGACCTTGTGAAGTAGAGTAGGACCTCCATATCCACTGGATCAGTACCCGCTGATTCACTTATCCATGGTCTGAAAATATTAAAAATATAAAAGAAAAATCCTAGAAATACATATTTCTAAAGATGAAGTTACCAGAGCTGGCCATTAGAGGGAGCCAGAGCCTATGCTATGTGTTACAGCATTCACCATTAAAATATCATTCTCTATAATCTTATGTTTTCAGCACCGGGAGCGTTGGGGGGCTTGGAACCAATCCCTTATGTATCTGGCAGTCTTACTGTATTACGTTTGCGAAAGTATTGCGGCCACAACCTAACCTGCATCTTTTCTCTGTTTCACTGAAGGAATGGAATCCCGTCTGCCTTAATATTAAAATGTATTTTGTATATTTAGGTGCCAACTTTTCTCTAAGGAGGTCAAGATGGTACTGAACAGCATAGACAGATTTCCTTCTTCTCCCTTTATCCTCACAAAGAGCCCCATGAGGGCAGGTGGCTGATAGGATGCAACAGGACCATGGTCACCCAGTCAACTTTATGAACTGTGTGGGGATTTGAACTCGGGGCCTCTGAGCCCTAGTCTAAGGCTCTGACTACTAAACCACAGGCTTGGTGGATTTGGATAGGCGCGCTAGATGTTCTGTTGAGCACTGATGGCTGATGGTGCTTAAGACATTCTCCATGGACTCAGGACCATACATGGCAACCCATACATGGGTTGCTTTCCTCCCCACTTGATCCTCACAATAATTCTGAAGCAAGCCATTCCATGAGGCCAGGCCCAAGAGGACCCATTGGCCATCATGACGAGTGATAATTTGAACTCGGGTCTTCTGAGTCCTACTTCAATGCTGTAACCATTGAGCCAGACTGGCTGGATTAGGGGCATTAAATGATTCTGTTAAGTGCGTCTTCATGGAGCACGGTTTCATTTCTCATATGCTCAGAATCTCCCAGAGTCCATTACGGAAAAGAAGTTGGAATAATGATCAAGTACCTTGTAATTGTTAGAACTAGGAACCTGGAAGTGCCTTGGGTTTCTCTGCCGTTTGGTATGCAGTAACAAATGTTTCATTGTGGATATAATTCTCTTTTTGCTGCCTCATCTTTCTTGAGCAATCCTTCAGACAACACGTCAAACGTTCTCCCAAGCATAGCCGTCGTGGTGGTTTCCTTCTGCGAAAAATAAGATAAAAGAGTTCAATTCTCGAGCCAGGGGGAAAAAAGCCAATCCTATTTTAATTTCCAAAAGACTTTGAACGGAAGCAAATGTGTGCGAGGGAGGAGAAACCTTCGTTCACTGGAGTGCTTGTTATTTTTGGAAGCCCTGGCATTGAAATGCTTAAAACTAATCATCCTAGGGGTGGTTTCGCATCTGAGTGGGGCAAGGATGTAAAAATAACATTGAATACTGGTGGTTTCTTTTTAGAGATCTGGTTTGGCGATGTGTCACTAGGCTATGGAGCTGGGAAACTGCTGAGAGATATTTAAGGAGAAAGTCAGAGGACTGGACCAGCTTTTTCCAAATCCAGTGCATTCCACATAGGCTGGACGGCAATCTTTCCTTTGATCTGTTTCCTTTAAAGTTGAAAATAACGAACCAATTTGCCCTGTTTTTCCCCCCGTGGGAAGAATGAACATGTTTTGTCTTGGATGAAACACATTGTGAAATATTTGTAACATTTTAGAGTCATACATTTGGAATTTTATTCATAAGGTAGCGCTGCCTCTGATTTAGTCATCGTCGCTTTTCAGAAACATTCTGTTTATGCTTGCGGTAAATAATTAATCTCTACTTCTTATCCATTTTTTTACATACTGTTTTCCTTCTTGCTGTACATTTGTATTACTATAATGGGTTTCCCCTCATTTAGAAAGCAGACAAATTTTAACCACCAACCAGCTACTCTATAAATATAAAAGATCCTGAGGATGTGTGTAACTGATCTCTTGAGGCAGGGAGTTCCAAAGCACAGGCAAAGCAACCAAGAGGTCTTTCCTACATGGGCTGAATATACACGCAAAAGAGCCTTATGGCTGAATTTAGAAGATAGACATGAATATATGGGGCGAAGATAGCCCTTCAAGCTGCTGAGTCTGGTGTGTGGGATAGCTGCTGATGTGGTAGGTTCAGGATCCTATGTTGCAATCCCAGACCAGGTAGGTTGGATATTTTATACAGCACAGGAGAGGTCTACATTTCCATTCCGCAGGTATCGTAGTTGATCCTGTTGCTTGTTGTGCCCGCCTTCCCTAACCCAAGCCCATCCTGTCAAAATGGCAGCCATTTAAACCATGGACATGTTAATGGCGGCAGCCATTTTGAGAGTTTCAACGAATGGCCAGCCTTTGACCTCAGAGCTTGCGAACGTGTCTGTGTGAGAGAGAGGGGACCCCCATCCCGCCTTGCCCTGCGTTCCCCTTTTGTGGTTTCTCATAGTTA